GGCACAGGAGGGGAAAAAGTGAGGCCTGCCCTGCCCCCCTCTCACGGGACCCTCTCTCAAGGACCCTCCCCACCTGTGCAACCCTCTTTCCCATAGGACCCTCTCCCACCTCGCTACCCACCCTCCCACCCTTTTCCCTACACTCTTCCCCACCAACCCTGTACCAGGGGACCCTCTCCTGCCACCCAGGCCTGCCCTGGACCTCTCCCCTCATGCCCTCCCCCAGGCCCCTTGAAGCCCAGCTGAGAGAGAGGAGGCCCTGACCGTGCCACAGCTGCCGCCACAGCCCTAACCTGCACACGAGCCCGCCTCCTCTGGGTGGGCCTCCTGGGCGGGAGGGGCAGACTGGACAGAATGGGAGAACACTGGGGCGGGTGCCCATGCGGGTGGCCAGGAGGGCGATGCTGAAGGTGACCACAAGCCTTCAGTGTATGCACATTCACACACATGGGCACACAAGCACGCACTCAGTCTGCACAGACATGCGTGCACATGCACACGTGTGCACACACGGCCCATCTTAGTCTACCCACACATGTCCCCCTGCCCTCACAGAGCACATGCATGTGCGCACACACACACACACACACACACACACACACGCAGGCACATGCTCACGCGTGCACACACAGACACAGGCACACACGCACCCACACAGCCACAAGCAGGCAGCCAGAGGAGCACCCTGGCTCTGCCAGGGTGAGACCTTGAGGACAGGCCCAGCGATGGCAGGGCAGCCCTAAGCAGCAGGCTGGTGGCACGCGGGGTGGGGGGGTGGGGAGGCAAGGACAGAGTCACCCTGCGGCAGCCTGTCAGGGGCTGATATTCGCTCAGTCGAATGGACTGTGTCCCGGTCTCCCACTGGGTGGGGGTAGGGGAGTGAGGCCCTCCCTTATCTGGGGGTGTGGGGCGGGGCACCCTGGGTTTCAGCATTGGCACCACCAAGAAGGGGATCGGACCGACCTACTCCTCCAAGGCCGCCAGAACCGGCCTGCGCATCTGCGACCTGCTCTCGGATTTCGACGAGTTCTCCGCCAGGTGCCTGGGACGTGGGGGCCTGGGCGGGAGGGGATGTGGGTGGGAGGGGACGCTGGAGCCCAGGGATGTGAGGTGGACAGTGAGGGAACGCTTGGGGCCTGGGGACATGGAGGTGGGCAGTGAGGGGACACTTTGGGCATGGGGACGTGGAGGTGGGCAGTGAGGGAATGCTTGGGGCCTGGGGACATGGAGGTGGCCAGTGAGGAGATGCTTGGGACCTGGGGACGTAGAAATGGGCAGTGAGGGGATGCTTGGGGCCCAGGGACGTAAGGTGGGAAGTGAGGCATGAGGGGATGCTCGGGACCTGGGGACATGGAGGCGGGCAGTGAGGGACACTCAGGGCCCGGAGACAGGTCACACACAATGGCTGCCTGTCCACAGGTTCAAGCATCTGGCGCACCAGCATCAGTCCATGTTCCCTACGCTGGACATCGACACTGAGGGCCAGCTCAGGAGGCTCAGGGTACGGTGGCCATGATGTCCCTGAGCACTTGTCTGATCTGCACCTCTGGAGTGCGCCCATAGGAAAGGCACCGTTGTAATGGGGGGCATTGGCCTTCTGGGGAGCCCCTGGGTTAGCGTGCTCACTGAACTCACGAATGGCTCAGAAGAAAGGTCCAGCCACCTACTTCTGAAACACCTGCCAGAGATCCCTCAGAAACACCCAGAGATCCCTCAGTAACACCTAGAGATCCCTCAGTAACACCTAGAGATCCCTCAGTAATACCCAGAGATCCCTCAGTAACAC